TTAAATGTATTATATTCAACAAGTTATTTTGTATGTAAGTTATTTAAATATATTAAACAATTTAAGTAGTAAGTTTAAATTTAATCAATAATTGGAATAGTGTGTAAGTTATTTAAATGTATTCAATAATTTGAATAGTGTGTAAGTTATTTAAATGTATTCAATTATTTGAATAGTGTGTAAGTTATTTAAATGTATTCAATAATTTGAATCGTGTGCAAGTTATTTAAATGTACTCAATAATTTGAATAGTGTGTAAGTTATTTAAATGTATTCAATAATTTGAATACTGTGCAAGTCATTTAAATGTATTCAATAATTTGAAAATTAGTATGAGAATTGTCTCAGTAGGAAAAATTGAATCCTTCAATCAGAAAAGTAGAACAAACAAATTCCTGTCTATAATTGTCTACTGAAAACTTATGTCTCCCGTGAAGAAAAAAAAGTAATTTCAGCTGAAAATAATATGCACAAAACATGACACGTTTCTGACAATAAAAATACTTTTGCAAGAGACTTACATCACAATAAAAAAATGATTTAAAAAAACATGGTATATTGGCAGTGATACAGCTGATTATTTTGTTTCACTTGTTCCATACAAATAATGTATGCAGTTGATTACAATTATAACAAAAATGAGAACTAAAAGTGAAAAAATATTCATACAAATAAGAATCGGAGCGTCAAAACACAAATTAACAGATTTCACAACAAACTTAATATGAAAACTGGTAATAAACAGTCATAAATTGTTCAGTTTTTATGAACATGGCACGCATTGCATAGTGACAACACTTTTAATGAACTCATTGAAAATGAACAAATGGTTTTAATTAAAATGTATAAACGGAGAACGACTGAATTGAAATTCATAAGAAAAATTCGCAAACATTCTTTTTTAAATAATGTACTAAAACCATTTCTTCTTAAAAATGCTCCAAACAAATGGTAATATAAAATTTAGAAGAAAAAATTAAATGTTAACAGAATAAATTGTATTATTAGTCAAGTTCACTATTATTTAAAATAATTTTGAAGTAATTTATTTAACTTCAAGTAAACATAACTATAATTATATAAGTTAAATAAACTTACTTAAAAGAAACAATGTATAATTCTTTTTTATCATTTATATCTCAATGAATAATTAATTGCATGAAATTAGAGTAAGCATCAAATTCATTGATAAATTATATTAACATTGAAAAAAAATATTTATTTGCCATTTACAAGCATCCACTTTTATCAAAAAATAAATAAAACTAATTAATTAAGTCATAGTTAACATTTTTTAAAAAATTATCAATTCGGCAGTTAAAGAAATCTTAAACACAAAAATTTAATCATTATTTAAAACTTTCAATAAATGACTGCATTAATAAAATAAGTCAAGAAAATTTAAGAATGTTGGATATCTATATTTCAAAATTACTTAAATGCCATAAATATGATTTAGATGTGGTATAGTAAATGGCTGATGTAAATTTAGTTTAAAAAAAATTAAATATCTAACTAATAAATTAATTTTAAATAACAATACAAAAAAAAAAAGATGTATACAGCAATGAACTGAGTTTTTAGAAAATTTACCACTTACACAAATTAATCAACTCATAAATCACTGATGGATCAACTCATTGATCACTGAATATTCTGAAAATGAACACAATTTAATTATTACTTAGCTTATTTATTACCAGCTGAATTATTATTTACATAAAAAAATTTGTTATAAATAAATTTAAGAAAAAAAAACACAGCTTAAATTATTTAGCATATTTATTACTTACTAATACATTATTGAGATAATAATAAATCAGTTCATTCAGGATTGATTTAATACTGCATTAGAATGAAGTCTTACAAATATAGTTAAAAATGTTAAAAACCTACTTAAGACTCAAATTTTAAAACAACAATTAAGATTTCGTTTCATATTTCTTTTTTTAAAAAAATGGCTCCTATGGCACTTTAAAATGAAATATAATGCATCGATTATTCATACGATTTAGAATATTTGAAACAAAGCATCTGAAATGAATGACATCTAATTTAATGATAGCAGAAATTATACTTCCAAAACAAGAGCTTTGGCTCACTAAAAATTAAAAATCAGTTTTCCTTATATTTAAAATAGCAGAAATTATACTTCCAAAATGACAGCTTTGGTTCATTAAAAACTTTTCATTGAAAAGCTCGTATGACACGTTTTATTTGCTATTTACTTCAGTGCATAGTTTAATACTTATTTCAAACTAAGAGTGTTGGTCCCATTAAACGTTATAAATTATGATCATAATTATCCAGAGATAATTAAAAATATAATAAAGAAATAAGCTACAAATCTACATAAATAAGAATACAATAGCTTATGTTACTTTCTAAATACTTCCTTAAATTAAATACACAAAATTCTACTAATAAATGTAAAATAGTTTTGATAACTTACACATCTATAATTATGTGTTTTATGAAATGACGGCCTGCACTGAATACAGGACAATGAGTAAAAAAACGAATGACAAATATTGATAGAATCAGGAGAGAGAAAACACAATACACACAATAGCACACAAGTTCTAAAAACATCAATGCATACACATACATATGCCCAAAAACAGACTTATTTTTTTTGCAAAAACTATTCACATAAACTGAGGTCAGTTTTATCTACAACAGCAGCCTGTTTATGAGACCACAATACTTTTTTTGATACTAAGTTACATCATTCAAAACAAAGTTCGTTTCGTTACTTCAACAAATATGTGCATAAAGTGATACACTGTCTTGGATGTGATTTGTTGGGTTTTTTTAACAATGCTATTACAAGGCTAATGTACAAAAATAGTAGATATACAACTTCTGAATTTTACCTAAGAGTCAACAGTTTTTACCTTGTACTTTATTTTGACGATAGGCAGTGTTTGATGAATTATGTGAAGGCTGTAGATTCGAAGGTGAACGAGTCTTATCTCTCACGATTTTGAAAAAAAATCTGAATATATATATGTAGTACGTTTTATAGTAAAAAACAAACTAATTATTGTTGTGAAATTAAAATTTTGCATAAAAACATTGACCTTTTTAGAACAATATAAAAAAACTATTTTACATAAACACAAAAATATAAATATTTTGCAAAACTATTACTAACCTAATTAAACTGGATTTGAACAGTTTTGAATCTAATAGAGTCAACTTGTATTTGACCAGTTTTGAACTTAAATGAGGACGATTGACCGTGTAAAGCTAAGCACAGATGGCGCTAGTTGTTAAAACTCGCCGTAAGACTTCCAAATTACTACTTTCGATTGATTTTTACACACGCCTGAGCTCGAAAAAGCCCACCATCCAATATTATTATATTTGCAGAGTTTACATTATGCGTTCTTTCAATGAAACATACAAAGCTTACACTTAATTTATGGTATGATATTAATTTTCTTAAATTTGCTTTCGTCTCACGACTTGTTACAAATTACAGGAAGCGCTAATGAATGGTGAATTTACGCATACATTTAAACGCAAATCAAAATAATAAAACTTCCTAGAATATTAAACCTGTTTACACATCGCCTTGTAAGCATAACATTAGCGGAGGAATACACAGGAAGTTTCCTAAATTTAAGAAGCTTGTCATTGTTTACATTTGGTCAACCGTCCAATTCAACCAGACCCTAAAAGATCTAAAACTGGATTTAGTCTTTAATTTATAAATAACACTATTAAAAGAAGAAGAAAAAAATAATTATTTTACAAAACTCAATTTGTTTTTTTTAGCTTCAAATAAACGACCAAAAGTTTATTTTTTCTCCATATTTCAGACTTAAGTCACTTTCAATCTAAGCCTTTCATTTGATAAATTTAAGTTTGCTTCACATTTTAGTTTACAGCAAGGCCTGACTTACCCAACACCAAGACAACATTCTGATAACAAATTTTGACCTCTTCCAAATGTACAGAAGTAATAATTTTTACATTTAACTTTTGGCATAAATATATTTTCAGAATTCCAAATCACACAGACACATATATTTTTCAAACTAAATCATATACAATTTTTTTATCACCTTATAAATGTAGTATATAATCATAAAAATGTAAAATTTTCACAGCCAATTTTGATACAAGCCTATATTCAATAAGAAATAAATATATAATATATAAAAAAAATTAATAATATATTTTTTCTACAAATTCAGGTTATATATTTTAGTAAATTTCAATCATATGTTTCATAATTTTTTTCTTTTTGATTAAATATCAGGCAAGAGTAATTTATTAATATACTCTTCTTTTTTGTTTTCACCTTAAATATAATTATTTTTGAAAATGCCAGAGCATAGAATGATGAAAATTTTGAAGTTGCAATCATAGTTTTTTGAAAATATTATTCTAGAGCTTTTCTCCTGACCCCCTATTTAAAAATTATTTCACTATATTAAACAGGAATTTTGATTCTGTAGGTCACTGAAATTTAATATAATAAACTAAAATTTCTTTCTAAAAAAATAGCGCTTACCTAAATTTCATATCTCAGTAACAGTTAATTATAAAAAGTTCAATAAATTTTCGTTAATTTTAATCAGAAACTAAAAAAATTAATTAAAATACTAACCATTAGAAAACATTAATATCAGTTAGAAAATTTAAAGAGAAATTAGTCATGATTTGCCAAATTTATAAAAGGATGAACTTATTTAATGAACAGAAACTAGTAACACAAAACAGCTTACAAATTTTTAAAAAAAAATTGGAAGAAAACATTGGTAATTTGCTTTTAATTCTAACATATTCTTCCTTAATTAAAATTCTTACATTTATAAAGGCTTTTGGATTTTTCATTTGGTTCAGACAATATATTTAGTTTAAAAAAAAAATCCTAAGAAGAAAAAAGAAATAAAATTTCATTTTAGTCATCATTGAACATTTTTTATTTAGCGTAAATTATTTTGTATTCATCCTATTTTAAAGAAAAATTATATCCTAAAATAATGTAAATTTCCTTTGATTTAGTATAAATTATTCAGCATTCATCCTATTTTTAAGAAAAATTATATCCTAAAATAATGTTTAATTATGCTCACTAGTGTAGCAATGTGAAGATCTTAATTTGTTTCAGCACATATTTCTTAACAGCCAGACATTTAAGTAACAATTTAACTCACATACAATTTCAAATGAAAAATTTTTGGCGATTCTTACGGCAACTAATGCCATTAAATAAAACTATTTCAATGATCCCCTTAATTTTAAAACATTAATAATAAAAAGCCCTGTCATAATATCAATAAGCTATGTTGCAACAAAAAGTATTTTATTAAATAGTTATTCCACACAAAAAGCAAATAAATAAATTGAAGTAAATTTTTTTAAAACAGTAAATACTTCTTTCTACAAGTGTCATAAAACCTTCATTCTACGCCGCAAAATACACCAGTGCCGGCGTTTATCTATTAGAGCATCAAACTACATATTAGTGCATTTCTACAAATAGATCCTTTAGTGTAAGTCAGACCACTGATTTAAAAATGATTTAGATGGAGATGTTTTTCAAAAGGCACTCATCAGACGATTAACTTCTGTGAGTCACCTATGCAATCACTTTTTACGCAACACAAATCTTTCTGAACTCCGTCGCTCGGCCATCGTCGCTTCGAAAAACGCCATGAACAAGATTACTTCGGTATACTTTCTCGTGAATTCCGCAAACAAACACAGATGGACACAGAAGCTACAAAAATATAAATTACGCAGTTGGTATGATGCATCACTGAGACACCAACACAAAACAGTTAAGCGACATTTTTTTTGTGTTTAAAAAATTAAAACGAAAACGATGACGGCGAGGTTGTGACGCAAAACTTTTCCACTTAACATTTGTCAATCGTGGCACTTTATAGGTGGATGTTAGTAAATTAAAAAAAAATCCTTCGATAATGAAAAGCAATGATCTATAAGTCTTTGATGAATCATTTTCGTTTACGCTTTCCAGGTTTTGGAAGGATACCAGATTTGTTGAGAGCTTCGAGTGAGGACAATTGCAATAATTCAGGAGGTAGTCTAGAAAAAGGAATGACTTTCTCAGTGTTGGAAGGAATTTCGGCTTCTGAGACCCAAGAATCAGGTAAACTGAAAGAAAAAAAAATTTATGTCAGGCATATGAATGCTAAAATAGAAATCAAAATCAGCAAGATTGGTTATATCAAGAGCTGCTATGATTTTAACATTCAAAATTTTTTAATTTTTCATTAATTTTGAAATTTTTCAAATTTTTAATTCAATGAAAAAAAATTACAAATTTGTTAAACATGATAATTTAAAACTAGGAAAAACAAATTTATAACATATGTAGTTAAAAAAGTTAGCCAAGTGATTGATAAATAAAATTCTATAAACAAATAAAAAGAGAGATTTAAAAAAAATTTTTAAAATTATTCTATTAATAACGCATGTGATACACTTAGAAAGAAAAACTCAAAATATTTTTTTCCCCTCTATTCCTTATTTATTATCCAATAAATTAAAATTTCATTACTGTCAAAACTGAAAAAAAATTATTTTTAAAACAGCAATGCTCTTAATAATGTCAATAATATTTGTCCATATTCTTAAACAAGCATATTATATGTTTAGAAAATATTTCAAGAAAAATAGATTAAACATTAAATCTGAATATTTTTTTACTAAATAATCAAACCAAAGAATATGTGTAATTACAATGGATATTTCTTTATACAACATAAAAACATAATGGTCTAACAGTTTTCCATTATACTGGTGCATTCTTATTGGTCGGAAAATCACACGGTAGGATCCACTTTTCCCATATTATTTTTGATATTTGTTTGGTTGTCATCGGAAATTGATATAAGTATCCAAAATCTAAAGGTACTGTAAAGGCCAAAACCAGCACTGTTATTATTACGTTTTTCATTTTGTTTGTTTTCTAAATTAAGAGTTTAAGAAGATTATTTTTATTATTATTAGAATAACGTAATGCTACATTACATTTCAAGATTAAGTTATTTAAATCTTAGTAAGTGTTTTACAATTATTATCTTTTGATGAAAATTACATTAATATACTATTATGAACTACGGTTAAAGAGATTCGTTAAAGGATTTAGAACTTAACTTTCAGTTTCGTGCACAAAGTGATGAATGCAAAAATTATATTTAAAATACATCCATACATTTGGTAAGCAAAAATATTAAATGACAGTTGTGAATTCATCAAATTTGTTACAACAGTATACTTTTAATTATAAATGTTATTTCAAAAAAATGATTGCTAAGAAAAATGATTTATGTCCACTTATAGATGTTAGTACTAGTATCATAAGGGAAATATTTGGATGTGGAAAGTGGTGGGAAAAGTGTTCCCTTTAGCACATATATTTTTAGCTGAATAATTTAAACCGTTTTATGCATGGAAAATGCAATTATTGCAAAGCAATCACCAGGGTTGGTGAGCATCAGCGAGGAGGGGAATTAGCTCCTCAATCAAAACATAAGTTTATAAGCAAATAGTAGAGAATGTCTTACATGTCTCTGGGATCCCATCGAAGAAGATAAAACATTTTACCACTTTCTCCCATCCTTCTACCAATAATCTAAAGTAAGAGAAACAAATATTAGCAAACTAATCATTAGATATGATTTTTTTCATCCCCCCCTTAAAACAAAAAGCATATAAAAAATACAAAAAGCATATTAATTACAAGAATTCTTCATGTAATTCCTAGAGAATTGTGTTGAGTCACACATCTTTTTTTACACATTAAAAGTATGCTAAAAAAATTAGACAGAACATGCAAGTTATGCTGCATTTTAAAAATTCATTTCTATCTCAAAATATTAAAAAAAAACACCATATTCTATGAAGAAAAAATATCCGATTTGATTTTAATGAGCAAAAGTAAATTTTATTGGGGACAAAGTCGTAACACAAAAAGTTTAATTGTAATTGCATCTAATTTAGATCAATTAACAGTAGAACTAAAATAAGGGTTCAGTTATATAATTAATTAAAAAACTGCTTAACTTGTATTTTATACAAAAAAAAAAAGCTATCAAAATAATTTGAAGGGAAAACATTTATTTTTCATTCTTAATCTTATACAAAATTTGATGCAACTTCATTATTTTGAAAACAACCAAGTCATATATATAGCAAAAACATGGAACATATAAAGATTAATGAAAAGAAAAGAATAAAAATTATTAAAATAAGATATTTTTAAAAACAATTAAATGTTTTTTTCATCTATTTAAAAAAAATGATTAAAAACCAGAAAACAAAATAATGAAACGATATAATCTCTTCATCAGCTCACACGATCATATCTGCAAAAAGGAGTGCTTTCTAATATTGTATCAATATAGCCAAAGTATAATATATCAATACAATAGTGTGAAGAGCACTCACAAAAATTTAAACGAAAATCGAAACTCATTAAGTAAAAAATATATACAAAATTAAAACATATCAAGCAAAAAACAGAAAATAAAATATAAAGAAAATGCAGAACAAAACACAAAACCATAAAGCAAGCAGCGAATCCAAATGAACTTACATATACTGGAATATTTTAAGAATGATTTAATGATTAAAGATTACAAATTTTTATTCTTTCTTTTTCTAATAGTAATTTTTATTCTATTCTTTTCATTAAATCTTAAATATTTTCCATGTTTTCTCTATATTTTTAACATATTTAATGAGTTCTATATACTTGCAGATTTTGCTCTCTTTTATATTTATTGTTAAAATATATATATATATATATATTTATCTTCCATAACATTTCTTTTCTTTTTGAAAATAAAATGTAATCTAATTGACCGCAATCGGGGGAAATTAAAAATGTGTTGGCAAAGGTTTCAAAGAAATTTTAAACAATTTAATTTGGATTCAATTTTAGAAATCAAGTTGAATAGTTTAAACATTTAGATATCTTTCTTTTAATTTACAAATATATTTCAGTTAACAAGAGGAGTAGTAAAAATAATTTATTTCTTCATTTTTCTCTAACACTTTAATTTTTCCTCAGTTGTGGCCAACCTGGTGCAAAACAAAACATCCAAAGAAAATCAAATCATTGATTATTACTTTGAGGACTCTTACAGACTGTGTGATAACTATAAATATGACATCAAAATAATTGCAAAAATAAAGAAAAAATTGGGACATTTTAAAAAAATATCAGGACATTATTTCATGACCATATATATATTTACATATCAGATAACTTCTAAGAAAGGTAAATGACCAACTACAAAAGATTATATGAATTTGCATTGCTTAAATATAAAGCCAAAGTATAATAAAATAAGCTATTTTTTATTTCAGAATTACATTTGAAACAAAAAAAAAAAAAAACACTAACACTTTGAGCATTATTTTATTAATACAGCACTGAACATTTCATAACAATTTGCAATCAATATATCGAAAAGTTTAATAGCACAGTTGCATTAAAGAATAATAACTTGTATCAGTTAGTTAACATTCCCTCCATCAATACTTAAAGTTTGCAATCAAGCTCAAATGAAGTAATTTTAAAGATATGTTTAGATTATCTTGAAACAAAAACACAGCTAAATATTCTTTATAGAAAAGCTGTTTTCTAGATGATCTTTCAATTCACCGTTCAAAAATTCTTTGATATGATTACAGTAGTGTTGATTGGAATTGATCCGTTTAAAATTACATGAGAGACAAAACAATAATTATTAAATAATTATAGTCAATAATTGACTCCAAGAGATTTGTTACCGCATTTGACGAGATTAATAAATGGCCCTGGAATTCATCACTATGAAACTTTATTATAAAATTGAGTTCCTTTTTTAATATAATTCCCTAAAAAGTTTGAAATAATAAATCCTGCCATCCATCCATCCAATGGTAAGGACATAATGTATTTAATTGTATTGAACCATGTACTTAGTGGATGGTCCCTACCAATTCAATCCTGACTTCTACTACCATTAATTATTAAAATAAAAAGATTTGCGATCAAAAATTCAATTCTTATGATTTTTCAAATTAATTATCTTAAAGCCCTCACTTGTATTCATAAAAAAATAGAAGGTTCCAAAAATCAGAAAAACCACACAATTCATCATTAAAGATATCAGGACAAAAAATTACAAATCTGAATAAATAAACACAAAATATTTTTTATCAGAACAGCGACAAATCCAGAGTATATTATGGTTTCTGATATAGATAGTTGCTGATATTGATTTCTGTCTTCTGGCTATTAATCAAGAAGTTAAAATTATAAAAGTAGATGATAATATATATAGTTAGAAAAGTCATCCTGAAGTGGATAATAAAGTGAAAGGGTAAAATTTCACAACCACATACATTAATTTTAATTTATTCCAATATTTATGTAAGCAAAATACACGTACTGCATCAAATAATTAATCATTACATAGTTACTTGATTTTAAAATGATTCTTTAAAAAGGTTATTCTATTACTCATAAGAATAGAATTATTTAACATTATGTGTGTCATATAAAGGTTCATATATTTGGCTCATATAATAGATATACAGTGAAAATTCCAGGAAAGACCACCTCTATTTACGATCACTTTTGGGAGGTATGGAATTTCTTTTTCATAGACTTCTGAAGAAAACCTTTAAGAGAGACCATTAAAAACTCTCACAGCGACCAGGCAAAGATCTGCCCAAAATGTGGAAAAGGTCAAAATATCAACAAAAAAAAAAAAAATTTAACAAAACAAATAAGTAGATTAAAATGTATTCTAAATATTTGTGTGAGGCTCTTATTTAGAGTGTGTGAGGCTCTTATTTCTTTTTGAGAATACAACCTCATGTTGCAGTCAGAGTACACGAAAGACCACGCTATCAATGATTTATTTTTAGAGCTGAAAGTTAAGAAAAAAAAATTTCTTTCAGAAAAGCATCTCTTAACAAACCTCTTCTCATCTTTCAAAGCTACCTAATTTTAATGATATAAAATTAAATGCGAACTTAAACAAAAATCATAATTGTTTATTTATTCAAAATATCTTAATAATAATCACACAATTGGTACATTTGTTTCTGCACATAATTATATCAGTTGGTATCATTTTTATAAATGCTGAATTCATAGATCTGTAGTATCATGGCACCAACAGAAGTGGCATTTCCTCACCAAGAAAATTAAAATCGTTTGCAAAAAATCATGCACCTTCGATAACAATTTTGAAGTCAATGGAGGTAACGGCTAAGAGTGGCCCATCTCCATCAACGATCAGTTTACTGTGGAACGGAGAGTGGTCGCTCCTGAGAGGTTTCACTGTATATTATATTTTTTAAAAATGTATCAAATATATTTCATGGATGACAAACACAAAAGATATACTCACAGTACTGTGGAATGTAATTGCAGAAGGAGGACCTCCCGTACCCATTCCTTCTATGGAACTTAATTGAAATAAATTATGTCTCAAATGCTCCATTGTAGCATCATCAATAAAATCCTTACATTTATCTGAAACAATGAAACTCAAGGTTAGACATTTTTTTTTATATGAAAAATTTTCCTTCTCACTTTGTCCTCAATTCAGTGAGGGAAAAAAACATCACAGTTTTGTCAAAATTTTGAAATTTTTCTTTCTAATTGCAAAGTATTTTGCTATTACTCATAAATTTTAATATTTTATAAAATCCCAAGCTTAAAGGTGAGCCTGCATTTATCTTATATTTATCTGCAATGAAGTTCCAGATTAGACATGTTTAAATAGGTCTTTTTTTTCAATGACAATTACAGAAATGTTTGTTCTACTTACTTTGTCCTTAACTCACTGATTAAAAAATAAAAAAAAATAATAAAAAAAAACGGTCAAAATTTTTTTTAAAAACTTTTAATATGCAAATTTACTTATAGTACTTTATAGAATCCCCTGTTTGAAGGTGAGTCTGGCTTTTCTGTTATAGTCCTGTACCAGAAAACTTGCTTAGAAAAAAAAAACTGCAAACAAGTTTTGCACTTTTTACATGTTTTGTTCAGTATTGCCTATTACAAATAACCATACTTAATTTTGCCACTAAACCCATTATTTTTCCAATCTTTTACACTTATTTAACGTTCATAGAGATAAGTTATAATTCCAATCTTTAAAATTACACTTATTTTCTAATAATAAACCCAATATTTGCAAATGCTTTAGAAAGTCCCCAAGCACTCCCCTCCCCAATAAAAAACATGAAAGAAAAAACCTTGATTGAGCTGTAAAAAATTTATCTGCACGTTATTTATAATCAACAAATTCTTTCTCTATCGAAATTATAATTTGCTTAAACCACTTGTAAATTCTCACTAACGTCATAAAATACTAAAATTTATAAGAATAGCAAAATCTATCGAATGTTACAACGGTTTTTTTTTAATTTTCCCTCACATACTATTTTCACAATAACTAATTTCAAAATCCGAAGAATTAATTTGTTCTTTAAGGTTCGACAGCATTAACTTTCAGCATTTCTGCATTTACAAACGCAAAAAAGGTTAATAATACAATTTAATTTAATAAAAGGATTACAAAAGCACAAGAAAAGGAATTGCAGAAAAACAAAATTACCATCTTCGAGTATAGAATTAAGCGGGAATTTTCTAGCTGCTAAAAATTTCACCATAATCTAATAATATTTTACTATAGTAAACCATCTTAACACAAGGCTATTATTTATTAGGATTCTATTTTTACTTTATTGACATTATTCGATTTTATAGAGTACTGAACCTAAAAGTAAATTCACAACTGAATGAAATGTGTTTACAACAGCTGTCTCGTCGTCAAGTCAAAACATAAATAAAATGTTTCAGAACAATTTATTATCACTACTTATTGATTTCCCCCCCCCAATTCATACAAAACATTTAAGCAAATTCTGTTAATGCGGGACTGGCATTTTATTATTTACTTTTTTTTCCTCCTTTCTATTTTTAAAGCTTTTTCGTTTCTATTTTTAAAGTTTTTTCCTTTCCATTTTTAAAATTAGCATTGAAGCAGGAAAAAAAACTAATATAGTTATTTTTTGGCAAAAAAAAAAAAAAAAAAAAAAAAAAAAAAAAAAAACATTTTCAAATGTATGATTACGAAATATTTTTGACAAAACGATAAACATGTAATAAAAATCTTTGTAGCTCTTTTTTTTTTTTTTTTCAAAGCTACACAATTATAAATCAAAACGACAATATAATCACGTGAACCACATTTCCCCATTTCTCCACTAGATGGTGCTAAAGTAGACAGTACGATTTCTAATCCACTTCCAAAGAAAGGCAAATCAACCAATCTCCGAAAACAAAGGAAACAAATAGCATATACAATGAATAAATATACTTACACATAATTGTATTTCAAAGACATAAACTTTATTTTAAAAAAACACTGAAGCACATGAGTAGCATATAAATAAACCAACACACATTTTTAGTTAATACAAAAGAGTCAATAATAATGACGTTAAAACAAAGGCAAGTAACATAACATTCAATAAATATATCAAACAATATTCTCTACAGAAACTGTAAAACTTTATTACAATAAGTTATTCTCTATTTTCGTAACTTTGTAATTTTACGTAATTTTACTCTTTTAAACTCCATACTCCTTAAAATTTTTATTCACGCAAAAAAAAATTTTCCTCAATTTAAACATCAATGGAGGTATATTTTTAAAAATCTAATTATCTATCAAAAATTATGATAGATAATTCATTAAGTCTTTTTTATTCACGTTTAAACTTTTGTAGGAAAAAATTTTATTTTCCATAATGTTGAAGGAAAAAAAACTTAAGAACTTCTAAAATATGACACAATTTTTCTCGAACTATTTAAATAAAAGACCGTTGTTTATTTATTTAATATTTTTTCATGTATATTTTATGGACATTATGCTAGGCTGATAACTCTACTTGAAATATTGTTTAGCACTGTAGATTCGAATTATTTAGAGGTGAAATTATAAAACTAGCCTAAAACTAAAATTATTATTCAATTTTCCCTATTATACTTACATTAGGATGCATAATTTAAAAAAAAAAAAAAAAACATTTAGAAGCAAGTACAATTTCCTTAAGGTTCGTAAATAATTGTGGTTTTATAGAAAACTATGATTATTATTGTTCACAAAAATGAGTATTAATCAACAAAAAAAATTGTACGATGCAAAAAAAAAAACAAAAAAAAACGCTAAATCATACGAATTTTGACTACATTTTAAAGAACGTAATTTAACATGGAAAAATACTCAATTTGAGTATAATCAGTCAAATAGTTTCCGAGCTATCAAATTTTTAAAAAAGTCGCATATTTAAATTTTGATGGCACAAGAGCTATTAGATCGATTTCGTTCAAGTTTTGTATTTTTCCACATAAAATTACATCCTTTAAAATTATGTCAAAATTTGTATATCTTTCGATAATTATTATTCAATAAATTAATGAATAATAATTACAAATTAGGTTTTGGATGGAATTATCTTTGGATAACGGAATTTTAAAATTGTGTGCAAACATTTTTCGGTTCTTGACGCAAAAAGTGAAGTTAACTAACTCTCTACCACTCTCCCGGCCAAACTATTGGGACCATAATTCCCAGATTGCGGTTACTCTCTATATTTTGGGGGTCAGTAATCCGTCAACAACAAAAAAATAATAAATAAAAAAAATAGGTTTATTCAGAGAAAATACATTGTCCCTAACTTCATAACTTAAAAATATCGTCTGCACTAATTAATTAGCATATTTAAGGTTAGGTCATCGAATCCTTAAGATTGAGCCTCAGTACGTGAAAATCCGATCATTAAATCAAAAATTATTCAGGTAGGTCTTTTCTTTTCTTTTTTTTCTTTGCGGTTTGTACATAATAATATGATTAAAACTATAAATATTGTTGTTATTCGTAATTATAAAATCCAAAGCTAATAACTTTTCACTGAACCATTTTATAAAATTGATTTACTTATGATATTTGTATGCGCTCGTATTGTCAGCAGTATTTGAAATAAGAAAGAATCTGTTCGATGTACGAGCAAGAAGCAAATGACTAGCAATTTCATAAAATTCTGAGTTTCTCAATCACTTAACATTAATGTAAATAAATACTATACAATTTAATATTCATGAATATTCTATTTAAAAAGCTTAAAATGCAGGTCAATTTCAAATAGCAATATATATTTTTTTTCTTCCAAATTTTTAAGTAGCACAAAAACCGAAAAGCTCCTTCACGAAGAAACGAGCCTTTACTAACTCAAGCAGTTCGAGATCACGTGAACATGATCTCAGAACTATTCTCTCGTATGAGTATGTTTACGTACTCTGTAGTAAGCATAATTCCAGAATTTGCGGGCCAGAATAAACGCTCTTTTATTATTATACTGGTCCTAAAACGATTAATAAGCTAATTATATTAAAATTATCTTTATTGTGAAAAATTATTTCGTAAGTTTTTTTATGAAATTAAAAAAACAGAAGAAAAAAAAAGGTTTTTTTGTTTATAATTCTTGGATAAAAACAAATATGAGTAGAAAATTCATGCTACGCATCCCTAAAATATACGACTTTTTCCATCCAGAAAAGAAAATCGTATTAACTGTAGTCAAATGAAACCACCCTATTAAAATAAGAAGAAGAAAAACTTCTTAAACATTTAACAAAAGAAGCATTTTAGGGAAATCCGCCTTTTTAAAGGGATTTCTTGATACTAGTCTTTTATTACCAAGATTTGAAATATCTGCATGTCTAATACAAAGGCGGTAAAATATATTTTTTCATACTATTCATGGTAGAATGGTCGCCAAAACATGATCGCCTCATTTCAAACTCTGGTCACGTTTGGCAACAGAACATAATGCTCTCACCTCATCAAGTCAGTGTCACACGAAAAAAGAAAGGAAAGAAAATAAAACATTCAAAGCATCATATTTTTTTTTAATAATCGTAGTTATTACACACGTGACTGCGTGTCATCAGGACGAGAAATTACGTATGCACGCACTTCCGGTAGTAAAAAAAAATGGGAAATGGGCGATGAGAAGAACGAGTCAAATTTCTTCCGTCCCCACCATCCACTCACTTTATGTTGATATCTTTCATTTTCTAAATAGACATTGCACTAAATAACACTTATTAAGAGCAAAAAACAGTATTGGAAAACTAGAGAAACGAACAATTGCAATAGAACGTTAAAAAAAAAATAAAGCCATACCTGAAAGTTCAAAATAAAATTTAAGGGATGAATTTATGCAAAATTAACTGCTGACAATGATTTTAATGATCAACTAAAAAAAAAAGTAAAAGCAAAGTTCGTAAAATGAGAAAGAATTTAGTTATTTTTGCCAATGCTGGTGCTTAATTAGGCAAACAACTTATTAATGGAGACTAACTTAACAGATTTCACGACTAATTTCTTAAACTTGGCAAGTGTATTTATAAGATTAAAATAAGTAAGATATAATTGGGTACTCGCAACTCGAGAAGAA